GTTATCATCCAACCGATTTTAACATGCCTTGTTATTGTGCTAATAAGGATACAACATCGTTCTAAGTCGGCTGAAACCTTATACAAACTACACAGTTATTTTCATGTATACCTAAGTAGTATCATATTTCATTGGTTTTAAATACAGTATGTATAATCAATGTTTGTTAGGTACCTAATAGTATGCAACTATGCAAGATGTAACAGAGAACCGACAAATATGATTAACTAGAAATATAAAAACTTTTATTCCAATCAATGAAAAACTTAATTTTAATCAACTATTTTATTAGTAAAAACAAGAGATATTTTATACCCATTTGGTTAATTACATAAGTATTTTCAGCTATTTCTGTTACATAATACTGTTTAGTTTATAATAAATTAACACATTTTTATTGACCTTTAGTGATAATATCACGCGCATTCTCATTATATTTTGCTAAGTCAGTAGGTTTAAAATAACTAATTCGAAAAAAATATTTATAACTACTTACTACGTATACTATTGTACAGTATATTATATTAACTATGTTTTAAAAACGTACTAATTTTTAAATAGTGTACATGAGCTCTTATGTCTATAGCTAGTGCTGTCATTTCAGTTTTTGAGAGCGAAGAGGGGGCAAAAGTTTTTAAATAATAAAACTGAAAAATAACTGCTTTCTAACAATCATATTACATTACAATTACATTTTTATCTTATTACAAATAGCCCTCTTCTAACGCATAAAATTGAAATGTCAAATGATGGCCAACCCATACGAACCCTAAAATTTTTCTATTATCTAATATAGGTACATAAATAGGAAACAAATTATGCAGGAATACCCTATAATTTATTACGTATTAACGTGTCAATTTTGACGCATTATAGACACAATATAATTGACAATCGAGGGCAGATCTAGAAAAAAAAATATAATATAATTTTTCGTTAGCTATTAAAAATCGGCATCGTAAAAATATTTTTAATTTAAGTGACACCTTCCTACGGAGATTCCGCCCTTGTCGACAATGTAATTTTCGTATAGGTAAACGCGAAATTTTTTCTCTGGTTTTGCGCGATGTTAGCACACTGTTCCTTACAAAGTAGGTTAAATATTCTAGTATAGTGGTATAGGCTTCCGACTACAAAACTCAATAATATAGAATATAGGGCACCTGATGCGATGAACTGTATTGATAAATGATAATATCTAAATTATTATCCTACTGAACATCATTGGGATATTATAAAAAATAAAAAATCTAAACGTCTACATACACAACTATAACTACCTACGTCAGTAAGCCATGAAATCATTAAATTATAAAGACCTACTTAGATTGGTCGGATAAAAACGTGCATTATAAGTTTTTATTAGGTGGGTACGATAAAGTATTGTTGTATTTTACGGAACCTTTGGCTTTTTTTTTGCGAATAGGTAGAAACTACAATTATTTAATGTATGAGAAAATAGTATACAGTAAGTACACAATATGGTATGTACAAATAGTACAAATATTGTGCAGTTATACTGCAGCTATTGCTTGTTCCTAAATATAAATTTAATATCTGTAACAATGTGTTATATGAGTATTATACACAGAATATTGGTAGAACATTTTGTGGTTGTTGGATTTTTCATTATACTGGTAAGTATATTAATGTCTGAACTATGAACCTACACAAAAGAATACTATTTCGAAAACGATTTCATTCTTATGAATCCAAAACGATAAAAATCAACACATTTTTTTTTCCATTTAAGTAGAACTAAAAAATATGTAGAATAGATAAGCACTATAGAAATCAAAATACTACATAATATGTAAATATTTATTTTAAATGTATAAAAAATGAAAGTTCTGTGGTATAGGTATAGCGGTATAGCAATACTATTACAAAACTATTATATTACAAAACTTACAATTTGTCTTATAAACAATGTATCTGTAAAGAAAGTTGTATATATTTCAATTTTGTTGAGCACATGTGCAAGCATATATCATGAAAATTGCAAATAGATACTATTGTTGGGTATTTGAATACTTTTTTTACTTTGAATAGGTAGATGTATCTATACTATTTTTTATCGGTTTATTGGTTTATTTATAGCCACATTGGTTACTTAATAGGTATCTACCTCATTGGTACTGCCATATTTATGAGAAATAATTAACCGAACAAAATTCGGACCATTCAGTGTGTTATTTCAGTATAACGTCGATGGACATTATTGTAATAGACAATCATACATTTTGTCATACCCATCTATTATTATGTTATATACATAATACATATAATACAAATAAATTACTAGACGCCAGACGGCCAGTTGGGCTTTAATTATAATCGCGATAATGCCTACGTAATACGTTTGAAACAATTGTAATTTTTTGTTTTGAGTAATTATATGACCCCTAAAGCCAAGGTTTAATTTCCGTATAGGTACCAAGTCAATAAATGATTACCTACTTTGTTCAATATTTTGAATGTTTTATTATTTACACAAATACACTACAATAATGATCTATCATTTGTACTCTATAAGTATAATAGCTATTATTTATTATTAAAGATGATTTAAATACAATCGATTCTTTATAATAGTAGCGCGAACAATAATTATGCATAGGAACATAATAATATCATATTAACATATTATATTATAATATGTGCCTTTATGCTTAATCATCGCGATTCGTAGTGTTTTATAATTTAATATTTATTTCGTTCCCACGTTTAAGGAACGGAATTTTTATTTGGATGATGATGTGAAATGTTTAGGTCTTAAAATAGTAAAGTAAGTCATAGAATAAAGGCTTTTAAAGTTCTTACGGACATCGTCATTAGTGGCCATTTATATATATGTATAGCGTATCATACTGTCATACATTACGTATGTCTACAAAAACATGGTACCTAAGCTCGGACACTGTTACTGAATATGTATATTACTCAGTAGTCAGAATTCTATAATTTTTTGTGAATTCTGTTTGTGGGAAATGAGATTAAACAATTGGATCATAAATTCCAATGACTTGCACTTTTTTAACTCTTGTTAAAACTCTTGTCCTGTCTTGTGCAGTATTTTAGGCATGCGCAACAACTTCACTTTTTCTGTGTACCATGTTGTTGTGGACATACGGTATATTATTATTCATATATGCGATTGATAAATACATTGTTGCGAATTCGTTATTGTTGTCTGTTATGACTCGAGGGATGATTTAAATTTAGACATTAAACAAATAGGTAAATCAATCCATAAATCAGGGTCATGGGATATACAGGTATACCGTTATATGTTGTAATGCTGTTTTTTATGATTGTTAATGGATAATATGGAATTTCAAAAAAATGTCTATACATGCTTATTTTTAACTGGCAACTTTGTTTTATCGCAATTTCAAACACTTTAAGCACAGTTGTACGGTACAGCGTGTATCAATGGAAAAATTAACTTTATTTTTTCAAACTATAACAACTATATTTTTTAGTGGTTTCTGTATAATTTTTTTCTGAAAAAGTTGATAGTCCAATAATTCATTTTGGTTCAATAAATATTAACTACAGTTCTCTAAAGTTTAGTAAATTCATTAATATTTCTAATTAAAATAATTGGTATGTATTTAAACAAGAGTTAAATATTTTTTTTTATATTATCTTCAATGAAATTTCATGTATTTTTATACATTGAAATCGGTAATCCAAAGACATTCCATAAAAAAATGTAGGCATTTTTATGAAAAATGCCCACAAAATCAGTGGAGGACACTGATAACTTTGACCACGATTAAAGATCTCATCTATTAACATTCTTTATTGGTTGCAATAGTGTTTATGCAATTACTACATGCCGGCATATAATATCTGCTTACGTTTACGTTTACGAACAGACAGTTATTATTACGTTCAAAGTTCGCGTAAATACAAATATGGTCTACTATAGATTAGGTTATTATACTAATTATATATAGCAGTAACCAACATTTGTTAATAGTACATGTTTAATGTTTATAGGTATTAAATACCTACCTACTCTTCATTATAATTAATTGTATTGCTTGTTATGGTCCAAGTTCTACATCGGAATCATTGGATTCATGTATAACTTAAGTCTCAAATCTTAACTATCAAACACTCAATCGTTAATAAATAATCAGTATTTACTGCTGTGTTTGTTGTATATATTGCGTATATAATTTAACCTTTGAGTAGCTTTATTTTTGTTCTAATTATTACATTATTTATTATAAACAAAACTATAATATTATTGATAAAACGAAGTACGTGACAAAAAATCTATATGCGCCTAAGAATCTAAGATAACGTCCTGTAAATAAGAAATGAGAAAAAGAAAATCAAGTCTTAAGTATCAGCCACTAGGTCCCTTACCCCTTGAAAAAATAATTTGACCTCCACTTATGTTGGTAGGTACTATAAAACGTAAACGTTTGTACTCATCAAGGTTTTAAAATGTTACTTTCCCGAGTAAATGAAATAAAGTAATTCTTCACCCATTGAACAATCTTGTATTTTTTATATCATTATTGTTTATACTGACATTACTGAAATTATTTATATGGATCGATTGTAATAGATAATCGCTAAACAGCTTTAATAAAAAAAACACATTAACAATATTGTGGAAAGCTTCAAATACCTGCTATGCATTGTTCTTGTAATACGTGTGTATTCTGTGTTGTGTGGAGCGTATTGTTTTTAATATTGTTTTAATTGGGTATACAATTTAAAAATAAACTTTTGGCAGTTAATGATAGAAAAATGTGATAATATTATTGTTATAATATCATGTATTAATGTATTATAGCATTATGCATATCAGTACGTAACTAAACGTGATTTTGATAAATTATTTGTTAGGACTGAAAATATATTATTTCAGTCGGTGGAGAGATAATGTCCATTTAGACATAGGAATATTTTACGTCCATATTTTAATTTTATTTTATATCTTATTTGTACAGATAATTTGATGGGTAGGTACTTACCCAGAAATGAGCAAACACGTTGATATCGAATATTTTTTTTATGGTCGCTTCGTCGTGAGCCTCGAGAGGTTTACATGGCATTATCCCTGCGTTGTTAACCAGAATGGTAACAGTGCCAACTTCGCTCTTGACCTTCTCGCCAAGCTCTCTGACTTTTTCCAATGTCGACACATCGCATCTGAAAATCCAGTTGCAATATTATAACATTAACTTTATATTTGTATATCAGAAAGTTTTTTAATAAATAATATCAATGTGTTTGAAGAAACACTTGCATATAAATGAAGCTAGGGAGACACCAATAACACTCAACTATTCAACTCACTTCAGAATGCGCCTCCCTAAAACAATACTAATTTGATCAGGTGGGTTTCAGTTTTCACTTTTAGTGTACCCTTTTATACCTATCTTTAATTAACTCCATTGTTATACCACTATAGTCATATAGTCAGTCTGTGGTTATACACTTTGACTTGAATAGTAAACGTCATGCATAATGATAAGTTATTTTGTTGTAATTTAAAAATATTATTCGTGGGTACTTGAATGAATTTGACCTGCCAATGCCAAATAGTAAAATAAATGACTCTAATCACAATAATATCATAAAATATACTAATATTAGAGGCTGACAGACCGTTTTCACTCAGAATCGCTTATGATGCAATGTTTTTATGTCATTGAATTTGAATTTAATAGGTACCATCCATTTCAGTGAGCCACTTGTAACCCGTACGGCAGGGCGACATCCACTTACCCGTTTTTTTTTTTACATTACCCACTGTAATAATATAATAATATAATTATTATAATTCCCTATTTTTCCGACTATTTTGAGACAATGATTCTGATTCCCTTCTGTTTATTGTATGTTAATATAAGCTTTTCGGATTTTTTCGGAAATTAATCAAATCATATGGATACCATTAATGCAGTTAATACATTAATACATTTATACTAATACTAGCAGTTGTTTTTTTGATTGACCGAACACTTGACATATTATTCGATTTTCGCGGAATACCGCCTTAAAATAAAACAGTATTTATAGCACAAAACGGTTAACATGCATATTATTTATTAAAAAATAATAAAATAAATAAAGTTATGTAATTTTTCACTGATTTTAAAATTTTGGCGTAGCACTTATTCCAAGTCCACTAATTACTTGTGTTCCGTGGAACACTGGTTAATACAGAAAAGGTTAACAAATACTGCAACTTTGTGTGCTCTGGGGGGGGGGGGCAGTAAATTATTGGTGTCACAACCCTCAGGGAAAATCATAAATGTATAATGTAAACCATAATCTATATTTATTAATTTCAGCAAACTACAGTGATTAATAAGTGAGTATAATTGAGTAAATTTAGAATAATTGTGGAGTGCAGTAAGAATATTTTTTTCAAATTAAAAAATGGGTAGGTGGAGGGGGAACTTTTTTAAACTACATGTGTTCTCAAAATACCTCTGTGCGCTACTAGATTATAGAGTACAGATAGAGTATATGGTTATGTCCACAGATATTTTGTATGATGGTACACATGTAATCACTATGTTCATGCACACTCACGTGTAAGCGAAAGCTTTTCCTTTCCACTTGGCGTTGATTTCCTTTGCGGTTTCCGCGTTCGACTGCTCATTGATGTCAACGCACACTACTTTGGCGGACACGTCGGCGAACTGCATCGCCAAACATTTCCCTATTCCATGTCCTGTGCCTGTGATCTGTATACATAAAAACACATGTTATAAATTAAATGAGTTAACGCTTTGAAAAATGCAACAAAACAATTATGATAACACGTTCTGCTTAAATTATATTATAATATATTGTTATTTAAAAAAAAAAATGATAAGGTATTTACTTAATTTAGAAAAATTTAAATCTGAAAAAAGTTGTATTTGCAAGTTATACCTCGATACATTTTTTAAAGTCTTTTATTTTAACCCGAAAAGTTTTTGGAATTAAATATAGTTTACCCTGTAGTTTGTTATTTAATTATTATTATATTTTTAGTTTTCACTTCATATTATTGAATTGGACATTTGAAAAATAACTGATTGTGGCCAATTAAGTTTATTTGTTTTGAAATATTGCATTTTGTACTAAAGCTCAAATATTAGAACAAAAAATGAGTTCTATATATATACTAGTATACCGTTAAATAGGTAGTCATTATTTTATAGTCAACATTATTGTTGTTATATTCAATAGTCCTTACCGTTGCTTTAACAGCCTAATTGTCGTATTATATAAATACCCCAAATAAGAAAAAAGTTGAAAACTAATTTCAATAATTATCGGGTCCGTCCAAATTATTGAAACCCTGCAAAGACCATTGTTGGTTTTTTTTAACATTAAGTGGATATCTGAGCTGTACTTACCAAAACGATGTCGTCGGCCAAAGATTTTTCCGGCAATGGTACGAATATGTAATAAATAGACTCGCCAATGTAGTAAACGCTTTTAATCAACAGTAGCACCAGTTCCGCGAAGATGCTGGACCACTTCATTTTATCCATTTTATTGGTCCTGTGGGGGAGAAAATGACTTGCGTTTAAGATTCACCGCGTAATATAAGAGACCATGCAATGGTGGGGCGGGGGGTTTAACCGTTAAAGATCAATCTTTAGCAGTTGCGTGTCCAGATATTTTCAATGAGTGGCCGAGGGGGGATGTTATAACTAATAATACATTTAAATGGATTGTAGTGGTAATACCAAAGACAGAAATAAAGAGATTTATAGGACAATGGGAGAGGGATATAAGCCCCTTGGACACGCCACTGGTCTTTAGTCTTAACGACCATAAATAATTGAAAAATTGAAGAAAAAAACTGTTTATAAAAAATGTTGGTAGGTATGTCTTAAAAATTTAACTGTATAGGTATTGTTAATTAAATAATAACGTCATCAACTACTATTCAATGTATTGGTCCCTATAGTCAGAATTAAAATATACGTGAGCGTGACGACAAAATAATATAATATAACAAATAAACAATAAATTTAAAATGAATAACAGTTATTTATATTTAATACGTTTTTTTTGACAATTTATAATTACTCGTTGGTTGTTAATTTACAAGGTGGGTCGACGTAATATTGTTATTTATATGCACTGTATGTATTTATTACGTATTGCTATAAGTAATAAAGTTTGTTATTTATTAAATATTTTACTCACATGATAAACGTTCGACACTCTAAAATATGGCTGCCAGTTGTGTAGTCGATACCAGATCTGAAATCAATAATTACGACGGTTTTCAATATTATGGCGACTATTGCACTTGATGACACGCGACTGCAGCCTACCACTTAGTAACAAATAATGACTGGGTTTGTGATAGTGGGTTTTCGACAATGAATATAAGGTATAATATCATAATCTCTCAATACATAAATGTTATCTGCGCACGAGGCGCCACAATGCGTGTGCCGAAAAATCGATTATCGACTGTTCCATCGATATTCTACATATTATTAAATTTCCATAATATATTGTACTCTAACCATCAAGATTTTATTACTATTATTCATAATACACCGCGAATGTTAATTTCACAGGCGAACGGATAATATTAATATAATATATTCCTATATTTTTAGTAACACATAATGTACAATATAACACCTGCACCTGCTATATGTATAATGGAAATCTAAAGTATAAAACGCATTTCAACAAGGCGCAAACGAAAATCTATTAATATCTTTAAAAAGTTTTTATCGGCACGTATAGATAGGTAGATACCAGCGTTTTCTAAACTTATTTTTTTATCGCACACAAAGTATAGGTGATATATATATGTACGTCCATTCGCTCATCGTACTTATCCGCATTTTCATTCAACCAATCCTGCATAATAGTATAATACACACACATTTTATTGTCACGGGTGTCCGTACGTAGTATGCATCGTAGTATATTTATATATTATGTATGTAAGTGTAATAATATGATTTGCGGACAACAATGTGTTCGTGTAAAATTGTACATACTGGTCTATAATTGTTGTCGTCGGAAAACTTCCGGTTTGAGTTTTCAATATAGAAATACGCTCGACCAGACGGATACACAATCGCGTGACTCGCGCTTTATGGTGTCGCTTTATGGATGAGCGGTTTAAAGTTCAAAAAACACATTCGTCCACTGCGGGCAGCTATATGGTCAACCTTAACCGTTACCTAAATAATGTATAGTATAGTATATAGTAGGAAGATATATGTTATGTATTTAGTCGGTAGGTATATAATATAGAGTGTTTTTTTGTTCAATATTATCATTGTTATGTCGCGGCAAATACAATATAATAATATCACTGTATCAGCATCTAAGGGGGGGGGGGGGAGGCAAAAAAATAATTTTGCACCCACCGATCAGTGGCTTGACGAGCTCACGAGCTATTTTAATTTTTAACACAATAAGCAAAGACCCCCTCATCCATATTAATTTTATATACTGTGACTTGATTTTCTTCACTGACAAAGTTTACATGAACGGGGGCCATGTTGATGACCAGATACTTATTAAATCGAAGCGGTTTTGTAGAGCAGAAAAAGCTATCTCGGGATCTGTGTCGGAAGTAAGAATGGCTGTATCATCAGCATAGGTTGCGATAATTGTGTTAGCTGTTGAGGGAAAATCAGATGTATATATGTTAAACAGGTCAGGGGAGAGATCACTACCTTGCCGAACTCCAGCAATTACTGGAAAATATGGGGAGGTTGAGGTGCCTTACCTAACTGAAAATGTTCGGTTAAGAAGATAAGAACGGATTAACAAATAGTAAGGTGCTGGGAGGAATTTTTTTAACTTATAAAGCAGACCATCGTGCCACACGCGGTCAAACGCTTGCGCAACATCTAGGAAAATTCCGGGGCAATATTTTTTTTTTCAAAAGAGGATGCTATTTTGTCAACGAGACGGTGGATTTGGTGTATTGTTGAATGATTAGTTCTGAAACCAAATTGTGAATGAGATATTATATTCTGTGATTTTATTATTGGTCTCATTATTTTCAAGATAAATTTTTCAAATATTTTTCCCGATGTAGGAAGAAGATGTTAAATGTTTTGGTTTATTAGGTTTGTGTACGAGAATAACTATGGAAAACTTCCATGTTAAAGGGAAGTGAGAGAGCCTCAACATGGAGTTGTAAATGAATGTGAGTAGAATAATTGTTTTATTTGGTAGATGTTTATGAATTTTGTTTGAAATTAGATCGTAAACAGGTGATTTTCCTATTTTTAGTTTGTTAATTATTTGTTAACTTCATTCGGAGAGGTGTGCTTTGCTGGGGGATTCATAGGTAGTGGACTATTTAAAAAGTTTTTTATTGTGTTTAAATGTTCAGGATTTGGATTTATATTTGGGTGAGGAGTGAGGGAGGGAGAGATGGTTCCCAAAAAGATTGGTCTTATCAAAGTCTGAAACAGCTAGTACACCATTTGAATCATTTAAACGAGGAATTTTTTCTACCTTTTTATCTAACCCGTATTCTTACGGAGTTTATAATCGCTGAACTGTAGATACATGTTATTATTGTCACTGAATGTTAATATTGGCACTTCTTGTACGCCATTAAATATTCAAAATATTTAAACCAAAATTTATACCAAATGTTGATATTAAAATTTTCTATATAATAAATGACAACATTTTCAAAAAACTTTGATACTTTTTAAGTAAATTATAACCATAAAAAATGTTTGATTTTAAATTATTGTCTATTAAGCTTGAATATAATGCAGTTATTACGTGGTTATGGTTATGGCGTTATAATGTGATGGTGAAAAACCACAAATAAAAAAAACAACTGTGAAATGAATCGCATTCTTAATTGACAGATTATAGATTTATAATTGTTACTTTCAAAAATCCATTAATTTTTGTAAGTGTGTCTCCATTTTTATGGATCTCAATTAGGGTGTAGTCATTAAAAATGGTCGAGAAGCACTGCTCTATGCGGAGGCACATCAATGATGTCAATGTATGTCAGTAACTTGCTAACAATATCAAATTTACTGTATGAACTTTAGAGCAACTTACTATAATTGTATTGACAAAATTAAAGTTAGTTAAGTTGTTTGATTTTAATTCTTAAAAAAAATATGCTTATACATTTATATTTTTAATTTTTCAATTACAATTCACAATTAATTGGCTGCTGAATTCAAATCGTTTTTTAGAATTATAAATATAGGGCAATAAAATCGTCTTTTGGACTATAATTGAGGGTAGTAGCGAGATCCCTTAATGTTTTGATGAGTGGTCTAGTACTCTAGTGAACCACATTTTTGCTAAGTATCCTTTTGCCATTCCACTCCACTCATCTAAACTTTAAATACTTATGACTCTTAAGCTACTCATCCAAAATGATGTATTATACAGTATACTATTTAACAATAAGAACAACTAAATACAATGTGCGGTTAAAACAAAGAACAAACTAGTGTTTTATATACTGTTTAAACGAAATAATTGTTTAAAAACCTAGTCTTGAATAGTTATTATTGATAATTCAGTTCTTAAAGTTGTTGAAAGTTTTACATTGCTGTGTTGATAAACAAATAATTTATTGTATATATATATATTTTTTTTTTTTACTAGGCTATAGAAAACAAACTTCTACAATGAATTATTCAAACCCTGCCTGTTGTATTAAGTCTTGTGACCAAACTGCGTGTTATGTTTTTGATTCAATGTCCTATGATGAATTAAATACATTTTGGATAGTATCTAAGGTATGTAATATTATATTTAGGCACCTAGACGTTTCAATTTACAAATTAAAATGAAAACTTAAACTAGTTAAACTCTTTAATTATATTTAAATATACAAGCAATATTCTAAATGTCTGACTGTATGTAAAAAAATAGCTGATCGCTCCTGCACGGTCACGATACCCAGTTTTTTTCAAAAACATAAATATTTTTGTGAGTTGTAATTAACCTATTTATCCTGCACATTTCTGACAACACATTATTTAAATTTATCATGAAATTTCCTTGAAAACAACTTCCTTACATTTTTTAAATAATTTGTGCACTTTAATATTATTAATATTTTAAAATTTCATTTGAAAGATATAATAGTTGAAATATGTTCTCGAAAGTTTTATTCGAAGACTAGAATAAAGTCAGCATAATAATTATTATTTGTATAAGATCTTATTTACATTTTGCTAAAAGTATAGACGAGAATGGATCCTTTTATGAAGTCATTAACTTTAAAAGCTTAATTTTATTCACTTTAAATTACATCTATAGTAGTAAAAAAGTGTTTATTTGCAAATAAATGTCTATGCTGTTCATGTATTAAATAACTTAAAGTGTATAAATAAAATAAGATAAAAATATTTTAAAAGTAAGAGCTTGTACTATTTGCAACCTCCATTAAGGTACTAAGTACAAGATACCTACTTATAAAACTGTAATTAATTTATAAAATAAAAACAATTTATTGAAGATCACAAAAATTATGTTTTATAATCAAGTATACACTAGGTTTAGGTATAACTGATTTTCAGTTATAAATACATATTCAGTTTACCTATTTATGCATACAACTGTAATACACTACTAACACTAGACCACAATCCATATTTTGATTAAAATAATTACAAATTTACTCCAGTGTTAATTAAATAAGAAACTTATATCATTAACAACAAGTATGTTTACCATACATGTTTATTTATGTATACTATTTTAATCTATTTATATTTTTGTTAATTTTAGATCAACTTTAGACTCTTGAATAATGAGGAACAACCATCGCAAAATATTTGTTTTTGCAAACCACATTATGATCAGGTTTGTTAGACAATATTATTAATATTATCATTAGTATACCCACTGTGTCCTATATAATACGCACATAGATAATAAAGATATGAATGGATCATGCTAGAAAGCCTTAATAATAATTAAAAATTATTAAGGCTCTCTAGAGTCTAGACCATGCCTAAACCTTATATACAAGCGCTGTACGACAGAAGAGAACGATGGTTACCAAATTTGTTAGCTGTGATTTGAATATGGTTGACTGGTTGTTGTTAGTCGGTAACCGATAGTTGTGGTGATTTCTAACCATATTTAGGTAACCACTGTTGTGTACTATACTATGCACAATTATATATATATATATATAATATATATAATATATATCTTAAATCATGATACTATAACAATAATAAAAACTAGCTTTCTTTTCAAACAATCGTGAATACAATAAGATTGCCCATTCATATCTTTAATATCTATGAAAACACATGTTTATTGAAGTTCATCTTTTGGTACCTATATAAATTAGCATTGAATATTCACTAGTACTTTATACTGGTATATTATCTATCTAAGTGGGAGCATTATAATTAATACTTTTAAATTATTATTTTTGATTTAATTTAGGTACTGTTAATAAGTCAATGTGAGTTGTGTGGTAATCGATCGATGGATATGGTTACATTACAAGACAATGTGCGTGAATGTCAATTGATTCTCAATGAAGATAATATTCCTATTACAATAAAATGTGGCATTCTTATTTGTAAACCATGTAAATTGTATACATTATTGCGAAATGATAAAACTATAAAAATCACATGTGAATTACAAAAGCACATTGACGCTGTTATAACAAGGTACTGGTTTTGTTTTATATAACAAATCTTTATAGTATCAAATGAAAAAAGTGGATGTCGCTCTGCTGTAGGCACAGTAGGTTACAAGTGGGTCACTGTAATGGATGGTGTTAAATTTGAATTCAATGATAAAATCATTTCATACGAAAAACGATTCTGAGCGAAGACGGTCTGTCAGTCTATAATATTACTTAGTAATTTAGTATATTTTATTATGTTATTGTGATTAAAGTAATTTATTTTACTATCAAGCATTTGTAATATAGTAAGTTCAATTCATTTTTGCCAAATAATTACATTTTAATAGTCATTGTGTGTTTAAAATTTTTTTGGGGTAATCTAAAAATTTCAAGTAGGCACCCATGAACAAAATTTTTAAATTACAACAAAATACTTAATAAATTCTCCTTATTAATTTAACGATATGTATTTTCGTCCAAATTTGAACATAAAATAACTATAAAAAAAACCGTGTTTATATATTTTTAGATTTTTTTATTACAGATAGTTACATCAAAAACCGAAATCGATTTTGTCAAAAACCAGGTTTCCGTAAAAAGTCCCGTTTTTCCTTAATTTTTTGTTTGTTTCTCCTGCCGCTTTTGAAAATTATTGGAATTTTTTTAGCTTTTTAGTTTTTAATCTGTTTATTCTCTATAGTAATTGCCTCAAAATATAGTATAAATTTTCCAAGGCCGAACCATGATTCCAACCCATCCCTGCCTCCCCTGGTGAAGGTGACTATCTGATAAAGCTCGCCACTTACAACAGTGTGAACAATTTAAAATGGTAGGTACATATTGTAATGATCATACACGATAATGCGTTGGACATAATTGTGTTAATGTTTATCTGTTACCGGCAATATGGATAATCCAGTATTTTGTGAAATACCTAGGCACTATATGAAATTCCAAAAATCACTCGGAAATATACATAATACGCTTTGCTTAGGTATTACGTATAATGCCCAACGTGGAGTAGGAAATATGATAAAAATGAACAAAATTGGGTATCGCCTATTACTAATGCGAGTACCGTGTCCGTGTGTGCACGGTTTGATGCAATAAAGATTAAAATGTTGAAGTTCTGAAGCAGTTATAGAAGTCAGTTCACAGTATAGCAGAAAAAGCTACTACAATTTTGCGAGGTTCCAACAGACACAGAAGTGGCGTTACGAACAGTCAACAAGAACTGGCCAAGGGTTTTTAAAATGTGTCAATAAGATCAAGTGTCGAAATAAAAAGTGCATTTGCCTTAAAAATAAAATTTTGTGCACTTCAAAGTGCCATTTTTCTATAACATGTTGTAATAAGTAGCTAGTAGTTTGAGTAAAATATAATAAAACAAAATAATAATAAATATAAAATATAATAATAGATAAAAAATTTAATTTTGTAATATGAGTAATAATATATAATAATTTATTATAAGAATCTTAATATGATATTATAACATTATGATAAATTGTTTTTTGCTTTGCCTAAATAAAAAATTGGTATTTTTCATAACGCACAACAGATATATATATAAAATAATATGTTTTATTTACATTGCCTAAAATGGGTCAGCAGTATACATAATGCCTAGGCATTTTTCAAAATACCTGAATTATCCATATTTCCGGTGACATATCAAACATATTTTACAATGTGAACTATCATATTAGGTATATTTCAATAATAATTTAGTCTGGGCTTGAAGAAAATTTATATTTGCTTTTAATACGTAAAAACTTGTGAGTAATTACTTTATATTTATTTTTAGGATTAAAAACAAAAATATATCGATAACAAATGGATTAGAAGGTATTCAATTAGCAAAAAATGAAATAAATATTAAAAAAAAAGAGGAAAGCAATCAATTAATAATGGTCAAATTTCTTACACAATATATAAGTAATTTTTTCACTGCCGATTCTTCTATACCATCTCAACTAGTGTCATCAGTATTAAATCTCGATGCTATTAGAACACCACCACTGTTGGTAAGTGCAGAGGTATTGAAAGTAATGGAAACATTTACAGTCCCTATAACGGTGTCGATAGAAACAGGACTGAGGATAGAAAAACTGATGGCGGTGTTAACGAAGGATAAATGGGATGCGAAATTCACTATGGAAAATTCAACAGCATTAACATTAAACCGAAAGAAGAAACGGACATTTCTCGATGAAAATTCTTCTGTGCCAAGAACCAAAAAACCAAAAATTCGTAGTGTTAAACCGACGACCCATGTTGATAAAGCTACGATTGCTGATTACAAATCTTTGTATAATAACTCACCAGTCTTGGAACTGGCTCTAAGACCGTACCATCCTGTAGTAGATAATAAATATGAGGAAACTCTAAAAACATATTCACGGATAAAAAAACCAACTGACATGTCAACAATTCAATTGCATCAGAATACGTTTAATTCACAGTCTATGCCACCGCCTAATGAGTTTCCTGAGTTAAGTCGCAAGCGAGCTGGTCCAACAACATTGTCGCCCACCACATCAGGCATGAAACAATTATCTAAAAATCCTAACATTTCAGTTGATAAACCTACGATTGCTGATCACAAACCTTTGTACAATAAATCACTAGTTTCGACTAATCGAACACGGTCAACGTCATCACGTACTGAGTTTCCTGAGTTGAGTAGGCAACGAACTGGTCCAACCACATTGTCATCCACCATGCCAGACATGATCCAACTATTTGAAAATCTTAAAATTCCGTATTCTAATGAGATGGATTTTCTCACTCATCTGATTAACTTGGAAACATGCCGTAGTCTGGGGACTTTAACTGTAGGAAACAATAAAACCACACACCATCGACGAACATCTAATACTGTAACCACATCTCCTCAAATCATACACTGTTCTCCAGAACATAAAGAATCGCAAACAATATCACATGCTGACGATGATGGCACTGACCTGTCAAACTAATAGGCTAGTCGCTGGCTGGCAATTGGTATTATAATGTATGGTTTATTTCATTTGCACATGCTAAATATATTGAGTTTGAGTTAAAATGATTCTAGGTTCGGTTCGGTATATGAAATAATGTCAAGAAATTACTTCAAGTGAAAAATCATTAAAAGGTAATGAAACAAAACAAAATAACTATTAATAATTAAAATTGTGTTGCATTATTATAGTTAAGTTAATATTTTCCAAAAATGTCAATTAATATTACATATAAAATTATTAGTTATACTTGATGATCTATTGAAACTGAACTGTTCAAATCTTTTCATAATGCCAAGAAATTGATCCTCCAGGCGAAGTGAAATATTTCACGAAATATTCTCTTGTCGTTGTACCAATGTGATTACCGCGCACATTCGTTGGGTTCGTTTCTGTCAGGGGGCATTCGTACAGTGTATTCTCAAATCTTACTCCGTCTCTTTGGCGTACATAGTTATGAAGAATGCATCAAGTCCGAATAATTGCGTCACACAATGAGAGGTTCACATCTAATGCTCTATGAAGTATTCGCCATTTGTTGGAACAAATGCGCACTCGACCATTCTCCTGGCCCTAGTGAGCCGATAGTTATAAAAAAAATTTTCTCTAGTTAAATTCCATCGTTCATATGGGCATTGTATATGATCTGTTAATACATATGCTTCGTCCGCAACAAAAATAAACGGAATTGGAACACCTGTGCCGTCGTTTGGTAGTGGCTGATTAGGTGGTATGTTAAGTTTACCTTGGTTTAGTTTTTTACCAAAATTAGATCTTTCAAAAACATACGAATCACTAGAACTACCATATGATCCGATGTCAACCGACGTAAAACAATATTCCGCATTTACAACAGCCATAAGAACCACAGAAAAAATGTTTATAATTAATGAACTCTGAACCCGTACTATGTGGTTTTTGGATGCGGATGTGTTAGCCATCCATTGCCCCCAGGCAGTTTGGAAAATGTGTTGTTGCCTCCAAACTGTTCTGTAATTTGCAATTTGGTGCCACATCCATATCTTTTCACATGTATCTTTAACAATTGTTCGATTTATTGTCTCCCCAATTAAAAATTCTAAGTATAAAGTTCTAAAACTGTTTCCTATTGCAAGGTACCTATAGAAAATTCGAAAATAGTAAAAGTATGTATGGAGTATACATTGATAAAAACAACGTTGATAACAAATATATTGTTATTAATAAAAACACTCAAGGTTTTATTGTTTTTTTTTATTTCGTTCACAGAAAAAGAACTGCAGAAAAGATGGAGAAACTTGAGAACATGTTTTAGAAGAGAACCAAGCAAACAAAAACATGGAAAATCTGGTCAAGCTGCTACTAAACGGCGAAAATTCGTGTTTTTTGACCAGTCTTCCTCCTTCCGACAATGGAAGATCGACTCGGATTGGACACCGCTCGGGTTGTAACCCTGCAGATAATACAAATGGAGACAAAACAGGAAATGAAGACCGTAAGTAATTCATTGTGAAGTTTATAAATCCTGCAATATATCTAAGAAGAAGTCCGATTTACCTAAAAGCTTTGTCAATAAACCGTCTCAATATTCTGCAGCCACTGACGCTGATTCAGTTACATCTAACTCAAGACCTGTCAATGATGATACCACCTCGATTAAAATAAACACTGAATCCTCTACCATTACCAATACAATTACACTGCCAAATCGTCCACATCAACTAAGTGCGCCAAACAATTATCGTTATTGTCGAGGAAGATCCTTCATCCGTAACGTAGAACATGCTTTAGAACTCTTGAAACTCAAACAGGTGAATTTGAAAAAAATTTAAATCAACTACAGCCTTTGTTTGGAAATCAAGAGCGCCAATAAGACAGCATGGAGAAAAATAACAAGACAATACTCCTTTCTTTTTTACATAATTTTTCTGTCATATATGTCTTTGTAACTATTGTAATTTGCAATTTGTAAAATATTTTCAAAAGGGTTTCCAACCCGTTTATTACTGTGAATAAATAAATAAATAATTAATTAATATGAAAGTTCCAGTACTAAATACTAATCTTTTTCATTTATTATAAATACACATAAAATTATTGAAATGGAGAACATTTTGTAGACGTATATTATTTTCTGGACAAATCATAGACATTCTACAGCAATCATGATATTAGTTTCTTGGATAATTTAACTGTGTTTTAATTCAGTGAATCAAGTCATATGATTCATGACAATATTGATGTAAACTCACATAATTAAATATGAAATAAATAATCAACCCTGCCATTGATAACTACATTTTGAACAATAAAACAAAAATCAAATTTTCTTAGCTTTTTTTCATAACTTTGATTAAGTTGCATGTACGATTTTATTTTGATTACTTTTGAAATTCATAAATGTGTATGTACAATATCCGAGTATGTTGATCACAAATACTAACATATAACTAAATGTTAATATCATATATAATATAAAAACTAACATATAACTAAATCACTACGATAAACCAAGACGAAAGTGTCATCAGTGGGTGGCTTCTTTCTTCAAATGTATGTAAAATGATGTTTAATTGTCGATGTTTCCCTTATCGCACATATACTTATTACGTCTTAGATATAGTTTGTATATTTTCTTCTAAAAATAAAAAAGGGGGGGCGGAGTGGCGGAGTGGATAACGCGTCGGTTGCAACGCGCCCACCGTCGCCGGTTCGAACCTCGGTCACGGGCGGCACTTCTCTCCGGGCAGTCACGGTGTCCGGAGAGAGATCGCCATCCCCCAACCATGGCAGAAACCTACGACCTACGGGTGTCCACTAGAAATTCTGCCAAACAAACACACACGTGTTCCGTAACCCTGCATTACCACAACCTATACAAGCTAATGGCCTCTAAACAATTTTACATGATGTAGTTTGTAGATCTATGATATCGAAGTATCGGATGTCGTTATATTTGGCAAAGCGACTAATACTTTTTTTTTAAATTCAAACTTGATTTTTATATCAATTATTTATAAATCTGTTTAGAATATAATTTAAAAGTATGAAAGTAAAAAAAAAAAAGGTCGTAAACATGAAATGCAATTATTGATTAATAACGAATGTACTTTGTACAGCTTTATATTTTATTATACTTAACTTGATTAAAATAAATTACTATACAAATATAGAAATGAGTTTTAAGATTGTTTAAATTAGAGCAATGATTTATACCAGTCTTAGATCTGGGAAATATAAATGACCATCATACCTTTTAATAATATGATGCTTATAACAGTACTTGACACTTGTTATTCAATATTGTTTATGTAAATATTTTTTTAATAAATTAAATTTGAGCTTACAATTATGTTATATATTTCTACTCCATCGCAATTTTAAGTTTTTATTAATTTAAAATCTGTATGTAATTATTTGAGAGAAACCAGAATATATCATTGATATCTATTGGCTAATACAATGTTAAATTTGTTATTTTCACTTAACATACTTTTTCAGTGAAAACATTTTTATTGTTATTTTTTTATTTTATTAATAGAAGCCACAACATAGATTAGTTGCTTTTGAAATGTACAGATAAGGTGTTTTATATAATGTTTTACATTTTATACAGAAAGAAAAGAAGAGAGAACAGTATTATAGGTATAATGACATTTCAGAAACATGTGAAGGTGATTAAATTAAGTTATAATTTGGTTAATTTTAAGAAACTAAATGTTTCGATATTGTGAGGATAACAATTCAACATTTTATACATTTTTAACAACAAAATAGTGAAATTAATACATTTCTTTAAGTTTTTTTTCTTTAAATGATACTAAATTTTCTTTTGTATCAAAAAGCTTAAAAATATAATTCAAGGTTCTTCATAAGTTATTATAATAAAGCTTCAAAAATATGATAGATGTATAGGCAAGTTTTTTTATACGCTTTTTAAGTTCAAATATTGCAAAAATACATCAAAATCTCGAAATTTTGCTTATTACTTTTTACTTTGTAATAAAATGTACTAAAATCGATATTGGCAAGATTAATTTTACATACAAATTCCCGTTTTCCTTAATTTTTATTTTACTCCGGTATTTTAAAAACTACTGGGACTAACAAACGCAACAACTACAAATACATACAAACTCCGTTTCCAATAGTTTTTAAGTTAGAAATTGGTTAACATTACAGGATATTTACTTGTAAACTTACTATTTCTCATGGAACAATTTCTTTTTTTTTTTGTAATTCAATAAATAATATTATTAACTGTTTTTATTCAATTTACAAAAATATTTAACAACTTTAAATAATTTAGTAACTAAAAAAAAACGGTAAGAACACAATAACATGTCGAATCAAAATTTCGGTTACTTATTACTTTTGAAACAGCCTTTTAAAAAAAAATTATAAAATACAAAACTAAAAACACAATTGTGTACCGCATAAATCAATACAGTGCCTCTCATCGGGAAAAAGAAAAATTACACCGGATATCAAGTTTCAACTCCGCTTACTATGCAATGGTTACGAAAATAACAAACGGACAAAGTATTACTCAGTAATAATATTGTACGAAGTACGAACTATGTTCGTATGTATAGGTACAAATGAATTATTAATTTTAAATTAGCATGGTATGAAAACATAGTAAGTGTCTTAAATTAATAATGATTAAAATATTTATTTATCAAAAAAAAATTTGAATAATTCCCACGTAAAAATAATAATAATAACGATTTATTCTATCTGTTTTTTATACATTTAATCAAATGGCCTCTACGACGTTCGTGTTAATGACGATTAATTACTTATACGCGTAGTAAAACACGAACAAGATGATACCTAGAAACCAATTGAGTAATGTAATTACTAATTATTAATACTATTGTTATTTATATGTTATTACTATCATTACCTATTAGCGATCGCTAATTGCATCTATTTACTATGATATATGTGATGAGTATGAACAAAAAAAGTTGTATAATATATTCTATAGAAATATAATATAATTTTATTGTAGGTACTAGCCACTATATAGATAAGTACCTATTATGAAATAAAATTGCAAACGAGATATTGCGGGATAATATTTCCATTTCCAAGTATTTTGAAATGTTTAAATCGGATTTCATTACCTTTTTGCATTGTTTGTACAAAAAAAAAATTGAAATTGTATGGTTATTCATATAATTTGTATAGATGATTCGAAAATAATCACTAAAATTGACGATAAAAACTAAACGGAGTATAGCTGCAGTGTACCTATAATCTATAGACGGCCACAAGCACGTACGTATGACTATTTCGCAACTAATTCACGACGTATATCCATCGCAAGTTCGTTATTCAATTTCGAATCGCAAGGTCGTGCATAAATGATAAACTGAAATACCATTTTCGCACATTAAATATATATATATATATATAACTTTATAACTACGGAAACAATGACTGTCAAGTGTCAAATTATACATTATTTTACATTTATAGTGTGCAGACGGTCTGAGGCGTTGACCGCGTTCACCTGAATTTTTTGGTTGCAAATAACGTCTAACCAGACTGCTTTATTGCAATACGACTATACGAGTACGCGTATGTCGAATTATCGCCGGCCACCGATAAATGTCTGTATAGATACTTTATTAATTATTATGCTCATTACCAATTTCATGGGGTGCTCGGTGAATACATCAATATACTGTGCCTTGGGAAATAATATATATAGTAATTAAATTCTGAGTCAAGCGATGTTTTCAATTTTACTCATTTGTTTCTTTTTTAAGACAATTTTTTCAATAAAGAAAAAACTCCTAAAACGTCGTTCTATTTATAATTTTAGGATAAAATTGTATAATACGTTTAGGTAGTGGTCGTTATATATATTTTTTCAATAATTCTATCAAGTTTATGAAATAACTATAAAGAAATCCGAAACTGCGAAAAAAGTTTAAACAATCTTAGCAATATTGCTCAACTAAGTTTACAGTATTGTCTATCGAATATATATAAAGATTTATAAACGACTTCAAACATATTAGGTATTTATAATAAATGAATAACTTATACATGGCTTTCCTCATCACTGAAAGTGAGGCAGTGTCCTATACGATTGTCTTATACACCTGCAGAGATCTACAGGTAAGCGGTAACCGATATGGATTTTCAGTTGTCTCTAAAAGTTCAAAATTTAAAGGGTACATATATAAGTTTTATTAGAAATACAAAGAATACAATCGACCCTGTTTAATCAAAGTCGTGTCACAAAAATTGTGAATTACTCAAATTTTTTAAACAACGTTAAGTGACAATAATATATAGGTATTATAAGTTCTAACTGCTTTCGCATTCTGTATTTATTACAGATTTTATACAGAAATATAAAGGTGTACAACTATCTATTATAAAAGATTCAACAAAATTGATATCAGTATTTCGAAGAGCTTTATTGTCAAAATTATAGATCCAAAAACAATTTTTTATTGATTGTATTTGTTCTCCGTATTGTCTAAAGTTGTTCAATTCTAGTAATTATAACAGTCTTAACAATATCTAATTGATGTTTCCAGTAAATCTCAAACACTCCTTAACTTACAGCAACAGTTATTGAAATATAGCGGCGATCCTCCTTTGAATTATTCCACATCCTGAGGTATTATGGTCGAACACAGCCTTTTACATAATCCCCAAAAAAGTCACAAGAAGTAATTACTGATTTCAAGTGACCTGAGAAGCGGATGGGGAATTCACAAATCGTTATGTGCGTGGTTATGCAACAGTACCGCGGATCATCTTCGATTAATTCAGGTGTTTCGACAGGTAGATATAAGACACGGTAGAGTTTGCACCCAAAGTTCTCGAAGCCGATCTTCTTCAGAGACCGGTGGACATTTCTGTACGATAAGTATCTTTACTGACAAAGAAAAATGTCACGTGGGTGAAAAAATCAATTATTGTAAAGTGAAAATTAAGAGGCTGAACAATGAGGGCCGCCACCGAACGCATTTCAATGTCAACCTGTATACGTATTATAGATATGATTTGAGATGAACTAGAATATCGATTGGGCATTCGTCTTACTCGTATATATCGTCTGCAGCAGTTTGTCGCTAATCACTTTAAATATATATATTATTTATACGTAAACATAGGTATAGTAGTATACTAGTATAGTAAGGTAGAACGGTAGGTCAATTTCGACCGAATGATAAATTATAACGTACGAAACACATGGCCAACACTTTTACTTTCCTTTCCGGCGTACAGCTAACAGTATTTGAAAACTGTTTCCTCGTTGAGTATATATTATACAGCAATGCAACTACACTGGTTACTGAGACTTTCACTTTTTTTTTGTATGCATATTCCTAGCAATAAATTATTACTTCCTACAATTTGGATAAAATATTATCTCCAAGTTAACAAGTTTGAATGTACCGAACAAAAAATGGATTTGAGACTTTTAAATAAACAATTACTGTGGACGACTGTATAATTTAATAGATAGTTTTATTTTATTATGTCAGATTAAAAATATGTATTTATTATTCAGACAAAATCAAAACAAAATGTTTAGTCCTTATACTGTGTGTAAAGTTTGAAAGATAATAATTAAAATAATAATAATAATAATGATAATTAATTACCATGAAGCGTTATTTCTTTTAATCACTATTACTAGTAGAAACTAAAAGAAAATATTTTCTAAAAGATTAATAAAACCATTCATGTAAATTGAAAGCAATGAAATTAATAAAGATGCGTATAATATTATAATTACCTATATGACTATTGATAAACCCATTACATTTTTGTTGTTTATAATACTTCGTGGTTTAAATAAAGAATAAAAAATACATTTTAAATTATGTTTATTCGCAAATCGCAATAATATTCTGATACATGTACAAAACATTTCTCTGGTTGATGGTTTACAGTTTTATTATTAAGTAGATAGGCAATCGAGCTTAATAGTTTAACTTGCAAACATATTAAGTACCTATTAACTCCAATAATTAAGTATTATTATAATCAGTGACGTTACGAACAGTTTATTAGAGCAAACCTTCCTAGATAGATATGTATAATGTGTTTTTATTATGTTTATATAAATTTTTAACATCAATTAACATTAATGTACCTTTAAATTCCAATAATAGAGTATTTATTATTAAACAGTACGCGTGCAGTCTAATATTGTCTTCAACGTTCCCTGCTGACTCCAAGAGTAAATCAGTAAGGTATACCTACTGAATTAAAACCAACACATTACTTATCGATATGAATTATAAAGATAGTTAAATATAGAAATATTTTACACCCTACCAAAATTTAATCACCCATCCTAAAACTGTTTGGGGAAATTGGCGCCAAAAATATGTTCCCACTGATTATAGTTCTTGGGCATTGAATTGCAACAGCCGAACGAAATCCAATCTCAAGCACACCTTAGATTACACGAACTTAGATAAAAACTTCGATAAAAACACTGAAATAACCAGAAATATATGACTGTCCCAAACGAAAATAGTCAGGCGGCTGACCGATTTACGTCGGTGCTGGGCATCTCCCGTAAACTTCCCAGTGTTATCGTGATCAAGTGGTTCTCGATGCTCAAGAAGTTATTGTTCTCTTTTGAGACAGAGTATGTTAGGGACATAGTTTGAGGCATAGTTGTTTGAAAATGCTTATACCTAATAAGCGAGTATACGGAAAGGTTTGAGAAATATATTGAAATTTGAAAAAAACGCACGTGGTACAATGTGACGGACGTAATGGTAATATGATAATCTCGAGTCACCAATTTGGGAACTACAAGAAAAGAAAATGTGAAACGCACAATTGATTACCAGCTATTATAATGCTTACGAACAAATTCCCGGGGACAATAGACATCTATAGAGATAAGTATACTCCGCGGTTATTAGGTAGGTACTTGAAGAAAAAAATGACTTACCTATTGGGGTGGACGTGCCGAAAAGTATAATTAATTTACCGTATTGCGTTATCGTGCAATGGGTACAACAATATCGCATCGACGTATAAGCACGCGGGCGGACTGCGCGAGCACGACGAGACTGATGTGCGACTGCGAGGTGCGAGTGGTTTCACTAGAACGAGATCGGTCCCCGTTCCGGACCCAGCGACAACAACGACGGCAATATAATAATATTACTATTATTACTATTATTATTACTATTATTATTATTATTATTATTATTACATAAACGCCGGAACAGCTGTTGTCGCGCGCCGCCTTCGGGTGTGCAACTGAAATGTTATTGTTAGTGAACCACAGTCGCGGTGCGTGCCTATAAAAAAAAACGGCACAGCCGAGCAAGCTGCTGGTGTGCGCGCCACAACTACTAGCGCCGCTGCACCACTGCGGATGCGCCGACGGCCGGACGACCGATATATACCTATGCCTGCGAACGACACGATCGTCACGCCGCGGTATAAATAAAATATAAAATACGACACACTGCGATTGTATAACTATAATAATATGCGTTATCGTTTTCGAGCGGTCGGACACGCACGTATTACTATATTTCGATGATATTAGTGTGGGTACCGGTGGCGCCGTAGTGTATAATATAAACCCGGGCTCGACCGCAATGGGGGGGGGGGGGGTATCCTCAGCACATAACGATTTTTAATGTATAAAATTACTCCCGTTGTCAACAAAACAATAGTGATCAAAATTTCAATTTACAGGTTCGACCTCCCCTCCCCACCGGATCATATTAACGGGATATGGGGGGGGGGAATAAAACCTCCGACATTTTTGAGAAGAACGGAACATATTTTTTTGGTAAATAGAAATACAAAACTGAAATAAATAAAACTCCCCGCCACAAAACTGTGCCACTCGGCTCGCATAATAATAATGCGTAGTACCAATGTGACCATGTGCAGTATAAGCAGACGTGCATTGGTAAACAAGAGAACGGGATGCTATGCATGGTTTAAAGATATTGCCGCATGCTCATAGGCGGACATTTGGTTAAATTTTTAGGGGGGCTATAACAATCAAATGTAAAGTGACTCGCAGGGACTTCGCCCCCGCCCCCCCTTCCTATACATAGGTATATAATATTACTAATACAAATATAAATGTTTGTTATAATAAAATAGATATTTAAAATATCATTGCTATTAATATTTTTTGCAAATACGTTGAAAAAAAACTATTATTATTATGTCAGCGCGGCACGTGAGAGACCGTTTCTATCGTCAGATCAGTCATGACCACGTGATTTTGTGAGCTAATTTTCAAAAAAAAAATAACAGATAATTATTGAAACAAATAATATCAATAATAAAATTTCGAATTAAGTTTCGATTTCGGGGGTCTATTAAAATATTTGGGGGGGCTAAGTCTAAAAATTATTTTTATAGTAAAACCAGTATCTATAACCGTAAATAACCATGAAGGTAATCAGTAAACTCTTTGCTCACAATATACTGTGTATTTCAGGGGCGGCCAAACTGTCGATCGCATTGATCGAGGTTGTGGTGAACAAATCGTCGATAAGCTTTTTCAGTTTAATTTTTACCTTTTATTCTGGTTTCGACCAATCGGTCAACGACATGCATTGACACAATTCAATAATGCCCAAATCAACAAAGTAATATGTTAATTAGACTTCAGTAACTACATTTTAGAAATTATTATTTATTATTATATTACTAGTATTTTTAGTAATCAGTAATTAGTTTATAATACTTGTTGTATGTTTATATACACTTTATGCTAGTATGTTTCTTAACAATTATAGTTATTCAACAATAAAAATTGTTTTCTATGATAGTCGATCCTCAAAGGTGAAATATATTTTGATCGTGACCAAAATAAATTTGGCTACCCCTGGTTTGTATTATATATTATAGGGATGTCCTATCCATGTACAATGGAACCTCGATAAGTCGATATTCAAGGGAAGTACATTTTTTCGACTTATTAAGGTTTTCGAGTTATCAAGGTTTTAGGAAAAAAATTCGACTTAACGAGTTCTTAAAATGTCTTACCGTTTTTTTAAATTTTCAAGACAACCATAACTGGATTTGGATTGTTCGTGGTCTAATGATTTTGCGATATTTTCTGCGTTTTCTTTTACAATAGGACTTCCGATACTGACGTTGGCATCTCTGCATTGCTTAAACCACTTACCACACATTCTTCTATATCTGCAAATGTATGGCCTCTCTTCTTTACCCAATCTGTTGAAAGGTTTAAATCAATTTTTTTAATATTCTTTATTATGGAAGACAGTGTGCTTACTGGTATTCTAAATTCTTCAGCAATATCCGTCTTTTTTCTTCTACCCTTTGTTTTTCTCCGATATTATGCGTTTTGAAATTACGTGGAATTTTCTCATTCACACCACTTAACAGCACACGTGTAACCGAACGATCGAATACCGAATGTAGTGACAATAAACCGAATAAAACGAAAAATTACTTTAATAAACACAATAAAAGCGGTCAGGTTAAATAATCGGCAGGTACGAACTGATGGCAATAAGTAATCCGTCTATATTCGGAACACGGAATGTGCGAGTTATCAATAGTTTTTCTTTCGAGTAGGTCCACCCACACTGCCATGGTGGCAGTAAAATTCTTTTGTAATTTGTCTTGGCGGTGCCAGTAAATTGTGTTTGGACTACTTTTAACGCTACCGCTACCGCTGCAGTGTGTGTGGATCATAGACTTATATAAACAACTTGATAGCCGACTATCCCCAAGCACTATACAGAATTTTGAAGGTTGTCCGCCATTCTCCTAAACGGCAATGTGTGAGGTTAGGTTACCCATGACAAAATAGATTGGTATGTCAGCAACATTACGATACGGCACATTCCCGTAAGTATCCCCTCCTTTAACGTGTATAGAGTTCTCCGCCTATCATTGGTCGGATATATCATAATGAAAACCGGAGAACAAAATGCATGGTAGAAAGTGGGGATACGCCGATCGAACCAAAACTCGTAATATTGCTGACATACCTATCTTTTTAGTCATGAGGTTACCTAACCTATCCCTGTTATGTGATAACACGATATAGATAACTGACAAAAACCATAGACATAAATATATGTCAAAGACAAAACCATTGCCGCCTTTTTTTTTTTGTTATCAATTAGTGTTATTACATTAAAATATAAACATTGCCGTTTAGAGGCATATGGCGATTTTGCCTTCAAAAATAAAACAAAATCGGCTATCTAGTTGTTTATATATGTCTATGGTGTGGACCTACTCGAGGTTTCCTCGAGGGAACGCCATTAATTTCGACTTTTAGTGGTTCGACTTATCGAGGCTCCACTGTAAATATTCTATGACTGATAAGACGTGAGCAATACCACGCCCTCTGGTCATAATTTTGTATTATCATAGAACAATATTACTTATTTCCACGATTTAAGATACAATTATATCACGAAATGAGCACGATTTAAGATAAATGTATATCTTAAATCATGCTCATTTCCTATTCCTGGATAAAGCAGTTGTCAGAAAATTAATAATAGATTTAGTTTGAGGTAATGCCAACGTTGAATAACAAAATGTTTGTACAGACATTATCTTTTTCAAAAGAAAATGTATTATTAATGTATTCATGTGTCCATCTTTTAGTATATCGATTTTCTTTTGAAAAAAAAACCATTTCGTCCCTTTTTTTAAAGTACATTAATTTTTTTATGCGATGAAATCCCAAAATCATTTAAACGACAATAGTTACAATAACTCACTAAGTAAGAAGAATTGGTTTTGTAAATATTAAGTATACTTTCCTTTTTTTAATAGTAAAATGCATTCATTTTTCCAGTTCAAGATGTAGCTGACGCAGATCGTGTTCAAGTACTCAAGTACTTTACAAGATTTCTAACTAATAACCATTCAATTAAATATAGTTGGTTAAATGTCTGAATAATATATTGATCATTTTAGTGCACAGTGGCCCAGTACACACAATAGATGAACAAAATATTGTAGTTAAAGACCTTAGAAGAGTAGACTTTAATTTTGTAAAGAAGCCTATATGCGGTTTGGTAGCCAAACTTCAGCCCAATAGAAGCGGCCTCATCCTAAAGTTTCAAAAGATCTCAACATAGGGTTCGGCGCCACTGTCTAGTGCAGAGGTCTCCAACCTTTTTTTACGGTTTTTTTTTGAAATTGAGGTATAGATAAGATTTATTTCGAAAAATGTTGGTTTGAATTAGCAGCGTCGCTAGTAAATGTTCGTTACTTAAGTTAGTTCTGTACTTAGATTCGACGTATTTCATTTTCGAATACATCTGCTCACATAAGTATGTTGAGCTAAATATTGACATCACTTCAAGCTCTTATTTTTTGAGATTTAGAAATTATTCCTCTGGCTACAATGCTACATGGTGTAAAATTGTTGAAAACTATTTTCAATGAAATAGTCTTTAAAATATGTATTTGATATTAGCTTATCTTATCATAACTTCAATCTGAAGCTCTGTCGGTAAAGTTTCGAATTTTATTGAAAAAAGATTTTCGAAAATTAAAATACGGTCTTCTGCAAGTTCGAAATTTCTAAACTGGGTCTGGAACTGCTCTTTAAAATAAGTGAGAATTAAAACAGCAAAATATATTACAGTAGACTTGCACAGTTAGAAAAAACCGTCGATCACACGTTCGATAGCGCTATTATTATAGCGGAAAAGGTCGATCGTATCTTATCTGACCATTGTGTAANCAACTGAACGGTCCAATAACGATCAACAGTATTTAATTTCGCGAAGCCACGCGCGTAGACGCGCGGAAATAAAATCTTGCGTCGTTGTCGTGATCGACGCGCGTGTACGCGCGTCTTCGCGCATCCATGTGAATGATGTATAAGAAACTCGCATATCTAAATACGCGCGATTAATCGACGCGCGTGTACGCGCGTCCATGTGAACCTAGCCTAAATAGTGTCAGTAAATAATATATGTATGACTATTATAAGTTGTTAAGATTCATAAATTATGAAAAGTACCGAAAGAAAAAATAATAAATTCAATTTGTTTAATTAGAATTTAAAAATGATGGAAGCTTATACATGATATTCAAAACATTAGTTAGCTTGACGGGCCATTGCAAACACCTTGGCTGGACGGATCTGGCCCGTGGGCCGTAGGTTGGAGACCCCTGATCTAGTGTCAAACATGCAAAAAAAAAATTGTGCATGTTTTAAGTAATTTATAACTTTCTCTAATATACAATATAAACTTGGTATAACAGGAGTAAATAAAATATTTGTATACCTACATTTTTTTTCTAAAGTATACATTTTAAAAACAAAATTCACACATACAAAAAAAATGTATTTTAAATAATTATAATTTTAAAAATATTTAATACATTTTGTCGTTTATAATCATTTTTTAAAAAAAAGGCGGAACATGTGAATACATAATTTATTATACAAGGCTTACAATCATCAAGTGTTAAATTATCGCATAAGTACATTATAATTTTTTTTACGTTGGTCACACCCTAAAAGCCAAAATTATTGTTCTGTGTTATTGCATCCCTATCCCAATAAATTTTCTAACAACTACTCCGTTCCTATTCTACGTATGCCACGACGGTGTTCAAGGCCGCAATCGTACGATTCAGCCAATCAGTGTTGCCAGACGTGGGGATTTTTCCCCACTTTGGGGATTTTGAGTTTTTTTTTTTGGATTTGGGGAAAATGTTGGGGATTTGTATTATTTGAAGAAAATGTGGGGATTTCAGGTAAAATTAAATATTAAATTTGAATTTACAAAAATATAAAAATGTGGAAGATAGTTCATAATTTAATAATTATTTACGCAATATGAATGATACACAAAAATACTCATTGAACCCATATAATATACCATAGAGTAATATAATGTAATATAGATAATGAAAAACTATAAATACATATTTTGTTTAGCTTTATAATAGCTTTATAATTGCTTTATAAACTTTATTAAANCAGCCAATTCGCAGTGTCATACGCATACCCCTGGTGGCCTGGTATTATTTGGTTCAAATTTTTAACTTTTGTCATCTACTGATTTTGTTGTAGTTTTTATTTTCGGTTTCCACAACGATTATAATCGAACGAGTGTTGAATGCATTGTATTCTCTATTAATAGTATACAGTCATCTCGTGTACCGGTACTCAGAGTGACTAAAATTGATTTCAACACTTAAGTAACTCTCTATATTATTTTGTAAATTATAAATAAATTATTAGCTAATAAATTTCTGTTTATTCTTTCATATTTTGTTGTTTTTATCGTATATTATTAGCTCATATTTAGGGATATTTAAGGTAATATTGTAAATACAAATATGTAATTTTTTTTACACACAATATTGTGATTGGAAAAATGTGAAATACATTGCATCTTCTGGATTCTAAAGCTGTAAATAATTCTATTATTATAAGGTTCAAAAACTATGTATCATCGAACTTCTTTTACATACTCAACTATTTCTCTGATATAAATTCTTTTAACAGAGCCGGACATAGTTCCAGGTTTTGTACCCGCTGTACCTATAGCTCTTCTCAAATGGACCATAGGAACATCTAATAACCGAGGATCATGGTTATGTCGTCCTTTAGTACTGTTATCTCATTGACGTTCATGTTTGTGCTCACATGAGCAGTGGCAGAACAAAATTCTGTAAGATTCTTTTAGTTTGCGCATACCAGGGCTCGAAAACGTTTACATAACGTTATACTAGTAAAAAAAACTATTGAAATAGATAACAGAAAACAAAACGGTTAACGGTAATATTAAATTATCATTAAACAAAACGTAGCAATAAACCATTTTAGTAAAACAAAAAACAAAACAAAACGATGAACCAATAGGTAACTTAAAAAATCATAAAACGAAACTTATCAGAAAACACAAAAAATCGTAAATTGATAAACGATCACTAAACGTTATAGTTTATTTTTATAATTTTTACGTTTTACGTTTATAATATTAATTAATATTTAATAATATTATATTATTGTAATGAATAATGACGTTATAGGCGATTTCAATAAGATTGAATTCCACGAATAGCTGAATAGCTTATGGCATTCTATGGTTTTAATTTATTTTTAAATTTGTGCCCAGTTATGTTGTGTGGATATGCAGGTATAATGTAACATGTTTATTTGTACTCGGAAATCAGTGAAATCGAAAGTCGTCAATTCAAAAATATAATGGAAAATAAATATTAAAAATAACAGAAAATTTTACTTCAGATTTCAGAAACCAATCGGAATAATAGTTAGAATCATAATTTATAGCTATAAAAGTGTTAACTATAAACAACTAAGACTATGAGTAAGATATACCCATGCTATTCCACGTCAATTATTCCATTACATTTTTTTTTTTATTGATTATATTTATTATGATATCTAGTTTTTTTTATACATAGTTATTGATTAGCATTCAGTTTATAGGATTTTAAGCTTTCCTTTTTTTTTTAAAACGGTACTTAGACTATAATTACTTAGATACACAGTATTTTACCAAAACTGTATCA